CTGCAAGCAGATTTTTTTAAATATTATATATTTATATTATATATTTTTCAAAATGTTGTTTTTTATTATTGATATTCATATATACATTTTCATATCTGTAATAAAATCTCACAATGAAGCTGATTTGCTAAAGAAATTGAGAATCTAGACTAAATATATACAGCATATTGTTCCTGTGTTTACTTTGAATAACAATCAGATGCAAATGAAATAAATAAGAATTTGTTTTTTACATGACTGGATAATTGAAGTAAATATTTACACAATTTAATGAGTAATGATTCTCAACTTCTTTAGTAAATCAACCTCAATATCTCAAAGTTGACTATACCTTTAAAAGAGCAACTATGGCCTTTTGAAAATCTCCAGATGTGTCATCTATGATATCTTTTTCAAGATCAGTTTTGAATTCTGGGGCAGAAAACATAAATAATATGAATTTCACATAATTATAATGGTCACAGTGTAAATTAAATGTTTGTTCTTATCAAATACCAAACAATTAATAGAGTTTTTAGTAAATACAACCTTTTCATAATAAATATGTCTGCTTTATGGCCTTTTAGCAAATAATATTATTATTATTATTATACAGGATTTATAAAGCGCCAACAGTTTGCTCAGGGCTTTACAATATAAGGAAGACATTACAAACACAATACAATACAATTCAAGACAAGGGCAATATTTATCAGTAACCAAAGCAGAATAATTTAACTAGCTCATGTATTTTCCCAAATGAATTGACATGGTTTGAGCTACAGCCTGTAATCTGTTGCTTGTATTTTATAATAGTTGGCCTTATTATGCCATTTATTAAAAAATCTACTAAAAAGTCCTCTTACATTGTGCCGTGTTTGCATGTTCCATTATTGTTATATCATAACAGTAGAATACAGTCCAAGTAGCTCTGCAACAGCTGCAGCAGCTTTGAGCACAAAGGATACTATCTAGGCTTTATGTGTATGTTTGGGCACAATTAAAAAAACATATTCAGTACATTTTTGCAGCATATGCACATTCTCCATGTTTTATCAGTTTAAAATGCTGAAACTACAAAAAAATACCTGTTGATCTGCCAGAAATCCAGTGTGCCCCAAACATCATCATTGATCTGACAACACAGTGCTTCTGCTGCCCTAAAATCCCAACCAGCATTGTCAGCCCTGCCTGCTGCACTACAGAATTCCACCTATCCCCCATCCTCTCTGCCCCCCTCTACATGCATATGTTTGTTTCTTTCCCAGCAAAATCATGTTGATGCCTTAACTACCAATATTCTGCCCACACCCCATCTGTAGAGAAAGTGCTCTTGGGAGGTGTAGCTCTGGGGGAATTGAGCTCTAAGTAGCTGCCTCTGCAAGACCTTTACAAGCCTGGTGTAATAAAAGCTATTTTCACCCTGTGTGCATCTCTGTGTTTATTGCTAACTGTCTATAGGCAGTCATTAGGAGAGCCAGGTTATCTCTGTTTTTTCTGCCTTATCAGCAAAGAGGAACTGAATACTGGACAAAAACTCTAACTTGCCTAGTGGTTGCAGCTGGAGCCAATGCCAGTCTTTGCTACTCCGTTGAGTAGCAAAGCAATCAAAAACAAAACTATAACTGTGAAGATAAATCATGCATAGTAATATAAACTCTACCTACATATAGAATCTCAGAGAATATTTAACCATACTAACATAATTACATACAAAACATACATATTTTGCTTTTATCCAACTATTACTTCGGCATGCTATGCTGTCATAATTTTGGGGATTTTTAAATCCCCCTCTTGTAAAAATGCAGATTTGCTAAATTCATTTTTTCTACTTACCGTATTTTTCTCTCCATAAGACGCACTTTTTTCCCCCAAAAGGCGGGGGAAAATGTGTGTGCGTCTTATGGAGCGCATCCCTATTGCCCGACGCCCGGAACATGCAGTTTTGGGCGCCGGGCGAGCAGTTTTCTGAACATTTAGCTAAATGTACAGTGGGAGCCGCTGCTCGTTTAATACAAGTGATCTATTCAGATCACTTGTATTAAAACCGAGCGGCAGCAGCGATCGAATTTGCCAACCCCCCCCCCCCCCCCCCGGGGTTACCCCGGCGCACGGTACCACCAACAAACACC